TCAGGAACAGTTGAATTTGACTATTTTTGAAGATTTTTTTTTTTATCATGAAGTTCATCACGTGTTTTATGTCTCATACATCCTTCGCTTTCAAACTGGTCGATACCTCTGCTTGTGAACTGTTAATTAGGGACATCATCAAGTGTTTCGGTACTGATATAATTTAGAAGAGACTTTTCTTAAAATTTACGTTGATAAATAAATAAATTCTTTAAGGTTTTTCATCCCTCAAGCAAAGTTGACATAAGAAGAACTTTTGTAGTCTAATGGGTCCCTGTTTGTCATATAGCTCATCACGTGTAAATGTAGTCTTATAATGCTTTGCTTCCACTTGCATGGATTTGAGCCTTCCGTATAAAGGTCGATAAAAAAGCGCTTCGAACGCATGAAATTGATATTTTTTTCTTTTATTAGCACTGTGTTGATATAACTGGGGTGGACTGTTAGTCACCGAGGGTAATTATCAGCTCACTAGTCAAAGTTTCGGTACTGGCATAATTTATACCAAAATTTTCTTCCATTTTCCGTTGATTAATAAAGAAATTCTTTATGGTTTATCATTCTCAACCAAAGTCGACAGAAGTTGAATTTTGGCTATTCTATTGGGTCCCTTTTTGGTCAATTAGCTCATCACGTAAAAAATAGTCTTTTAAAATCATTGGCTTTCAAATGTATCGGTTTTAGCGTTCCTGGCGAATGCATGTCAACCAAGAAAAGCGCTTCGACCGCATGAAATTAATAGTTTTATTTTCATTCATTAGAACTGGCACGATACCACTTTCTGCAGTTATCGTTAATCAATCAAGAAATTCTTCAAAATCTAAACCAGTAGCATCAGGCAAAGTTGACCTCATATGAATTTTGTTATATTTAGGTCCCTTTTTGGTCATATATCCCATCATATTTTTAGATCTTATACCTCTTTTGCTTTCAAATAGTTGAATTTGATCGTTCCTGGTGAAGTTTACGGACGCACGAGGTTAATGACATTATTTTGATTACACAGAACGAATATTCAAAACATTGAAAATACTTTCTATTTGTTCTCTGAACTGCTAGTTGTATCCTTATTATTGAAATTTTAATTATTAAAGATATCATTTTTATTGATATCGTTTTTGTTTAAATCCAGAACAACATTTCCAAACTCCTACATTTTAAAAACTTAAAACAATACGTTATAAATTTCATGCGTCCGAAGCGCTTTTCTGGATTTACATTCATCAGGAACGCTCAAAGCCGAATATTTGAAAGCCAAGGATGTATAAGAACCGAAACAGTTGTTGAGCAATTTAATAAAAAAGGACATTAAAAATAGCCAAATCCATCTAAGGTCAACTTTGCCAGAGGGAGTTGAAACCTTAGTTTCTAACAATTTAAAATTTTATTAACGGACAATTTTAGAAAGGTTTGTTATAAATCATGTCAGTACCGAAGTACTGACTACTGGGCTGGTGATAATCTCGGGGACTGATAGTCCACCAGCAGAGGTATCGACCCAGTGCTGTAAAAAATGAAAACAACACGTTATAAATTTCAATTTAGAACGCACCTTTCCTTAGAATGTGATAACGTAACACCTTAAAAAGAAATGGCTTTTAACAAATTATGTCTTAACGACTGCCGGAGATATATTTGATAAATTCGCAAATTTGGTAGCTATCGCATTCAATGTTAAGAAGTAAGGATGGAAATTTACATTATTGGAAGACACTTTTTAAAAAAATGACTCCTGAAAGTGACTCATGAAGTTAGGTTACTTTTTTCAACAATTTCAAATATTGTTTATACACATGGGATTTTTTTTTTATGACAAGAGGAAAATGACAAAAAGTGAGTATAGACAAAATGTTGATACCATTTTCTGTAATGTTTTCTTTTCGTGTAGTGGATAAGTAGTTTGCTGTATTTCTAAAGATATTTAAAACACCCCAAAAACACCTTTCATAAAAGGATTTACATTTTCCTTCAACCGTTCACGAAATCGGTTAAAAAATATTTAGAAGTCTAAGCCAGATATACAGAATCACGATAAATATAGGGAAACAGTGTTAACGGTAGATGAGTTTAATGAACTTATATTGGTAAAATAATAATAGCGAAAGCCTGACTAGCATGTGGTAAATTATATTTTACCTATACACAAAAGAGGTCAGACGAGGGGCCAAATACATATCAGAGGCACATAACAATGTTGAAACATAGAAATGACAAAAATAAACTAACATACACAAAAGTGCGAAATTGCCACAACAGGCAAACAAAATATATTGCATGTATTCAATAACTAATGTTAGATTTTTGACATTGATTCATTTATTTATGGGTCTTCAAATATTTTCGAGAAATTTCAAATAGATTTAAAAATAAATAATTTTCCATTATGTGCCTCGTCAATTCTAAATAGCAATCTTTACCAATTTCATATGATACTTTTAAAAGTGTAATAATTCGACTAATTGATTACTAGTTTCAAACATCACCACAAAAAAAGAACGTGTCAGACAAATGAAATGATCTCTATTCGGATACAGAAGTCAAATTAAAGTAATGTACACTAGATATCGTATTTGTAAACATGTGCATCAAAAAGGTGTGCAGTCTATGTGCAGACTGTTCAGTAGTTGTTATTCACCTGTACACATCAACAAGGTACGGAATTGTCTGCAAAACTACTAAACAGCGAATTGTGGAACAGTACTGAAATGAACACAGTATATAAGTTTGAAAATTAACATACAGTTGAACATGACGTAATAAATTATTGTTCCGATTTTGAAATCAGTGAAATTCAGATTAACACGACCGTCCAAGACCAAACTTACTTTGCTAGTGTGATTTTCAACGATACTACCTTATTCATTTCAACTTTATTAATGGTTTATATGTTGAACTGTTTGATAGGGTCAAAAATTTTCTGTTAAACCAAAATTAACATCTCTTGTTTATTAGCTGCTAGGAAAATCTTCAATTTACTTTAACCTATTTGATTAAGTCAAAATATTTCATGATATGTTGTTATTGAATATTTGCGTCACAGAAAAAGACGGACATTTCGATTGCCGCAGCCACAATTTCTTACTAATTTCTTCTTTTATGACATCATGGACATCACCGTATGCAAACTGTCACTATGTTTTTATTCTCATAGCCAACAAGACTGACGCCACCGCTTCTGCTTCAAGAGTTCCTCAGTCTACGCCCATCGTTTTATGGATGTCGCCAATTGTATTGTTTTCTATGAAGTATTTTGTTAGCAATGGCATGTCTTTCTTCCTTTTGAACATGGTATGGGTCCAATAATTGATTGTCTTGACACCATCTTAATCATTATATAAGGGTTGCAGGCTCTCCGTTTAATGTAAAGACGTTTTACAAATTACGTAGTTGAATTTGATATAAGCGGTCATCTCGGTCCCAGACTCTATGACAAACGAGACGATTTTAGATTTGAAATTATAAATTCTCCCCACCTTAGCACCAATATACGAACTTCACCTGCATTTTGGATATACATTTCTTAAATCATTCGGTATTCAAGAGTTTGCAGCTGCTACTCAGACTTTATAAAACATCACCAGTGTCTTAGCAGAAAGTTGATGAACCAGGGTTATGTCAAAGAACGTCTTGTCTTAATCGGGGTAAAAAAACCAGTACTTTGTTGATGAATATTCCGTATCATCTTCACAAATAATACATAATGGTCTTGATGTATAAAATTATAGGTTGTTTATCATCTTAAAAACGTGTTATAATGTTCTTTTTATTTGTCTTTGTATATTTCTAACCTTTACTGTTTAGTCCATGCTTGGTAATATCCTTTTTGCTCGGTATTTATACATCCCGCCATTGTATTATTTTACTTTAGTCATTTTTTGTTTTCCTGTCTTTCATTTTTGCTTATGTGCTTTGTATATAGAGTGTCTATATGCCATTTTGTTTTTCTTTGTTGACATGGTTGTTTGTTTTTATAATGATTAAGATTATAACACAATCTTGACTGCTGTAGCTCAATTTAGGACATTCTTACCTATTATAATGGAAAAACAAAGGATATGGGGTATCCATCCATGACACAAAATCAGTACACAACACACGAAAAGCAAAGGAACAGCGCTTTTATTGCTGTTCTTCATCAAAAAGTCACAGTGTATTATGTCTGTTTTGCTTACATATTGTTGATAACATAATGAAATTCTATTTGTCTGTCATACCAGTGAGAGGTTTAGCGCTTTAAAACCAGGTTCAATCTGCCATTTTCTACATAATGAAATGCCTGTACCAAGTCAGGAATATGACAGATGTTTTCCATTCGTTTGATGTGTTTGATATTTTTATTTTGCCATTTGATAAGGGACTTTCCGTTTTGAGTTTTCCTTGAAGCTCGGTATTTTTGTTATTTTATTTTCATCTTACAATGCATCTCAATTTTTGACCCCTACAATCAATCATTTTATCTTGGAAAATCATATATCCGCCTTTAAGAAAGATCCAATCACTATTCATGATTGTCTGTCCTTAATGGCGTTTTTGTGTGGAATCAAAATCAATCGCACTTCTATCCATATTAAAAATGTTTGCAAATTGTTCTGGGTATTGCACAAAAACGTGTCTTCCTTAACTGTTTTTGGCGTTGTTGAATATATACATGTTGCAATTTATCAGTTTAGCGACTTACATAAGAGTGAATGTCGACTTGATTCGAATTCATATTAGTTGCAAGCATGATCTGAAAAGGTGTTCTACTTGATCTTTTTTATCTGAATGTTATAGAGTTGTTCGGTTATGAAATCATAAGCGCGTTCAAAAACTACGAGGTACAATAGACACACGTGTGATTTATTCCCTCTTCACGGAATTCTGCTTCATATGAAAGCAAAACAACTCGTTCAGTAATGTTGCACATATATACCTGTTCCTCCTTTTCACGTAAGATATATACACAAAATTAGGTCACGTGAATTAGCTGTGTTAATATTGTAACATACAATTCATTTTAGTGGGGATCATCATCATCGATAGATTCTTTGAGAAGTTCCTGTCACATAAAGCGAATTGGAGATTTGCTAGCAAACACTCAAAAATGGTTACAAAGGCACCCACTAAAAGAAGCTAAAGATGCCTCAGAAGTTTTATTCAACAAGTTTAAAGACACTTACGACAAGGAGAGTAAAGGCAAACAGATAGATCAATCGGAAAGTCTCGAGGAACAATCAAAACTCATGAAAAGTACGAAATGCGCAGCAACTTGTGTATCAAAGGTCATTGGCACACTTACAGAACTAGATTATGCAAAAGAAGCTTTGGAATGGTTAAAAAATTTCGATAATACGGACTTTACAAACTCGTTGACTGTAAAGTTCGACTTCATTCCAGAGCTGCTAAACAATCTAAGGAAATATGCAACATCACTTAAAAGGGCAATACATTTGTTTAAAGAGTTAGCGGATGAACAACAAACGACTTGGAAAACAATTAAGGCTAAACAAGATTCATACAGAAAGATCTCAAATTTACTCAAAGAAGGTGCTGAAATGTTTTCCACGGCAGAAGAGGTTGTTGGTCAGTTAAGAAAACTTGACGCCGAAAGCAATCCGAAATATCGCAATTTATTCAAAAAGTCTATCGAAGAAATTAGTTCTTACAGTAGTCACAAGTGTATAAAAGCATGTCGAAATATTTGCCAAGCATTGTTGGGTTATCCAAAAAGTAAGTAGATGATGCAATACATATATAAAAATCATTTAAAAAAAAAACTAAATAAATTTGATAGCGCGAAAAAAGTATTACTGTAACCTCAAAACACTTATAGGCACCTGAGAGCATGTGTGTTTAATATAAATTACTAACTTTATATTTAGATACTGTAGATATTTTACTCTCCGAAAACTAAGTACAAGTTTACAGAGAATCAACCAAAATCAATAAACAAAAAAAAAACAATAAAGCTGACGGTAAACAAATGCAGTGTTAAAAGGTAATTGTGTATATCAAACTTTTAAACAAAAGATGAAGAAATTGAGTACGACAATATATTATCGTTGTCATAACAATGTGGACGAGACCATTTCTTGGAGAATTCAAGTCTTCAATTGACTGGGTCATATTATGTGAACGTTCGTCTGTAACGCCCACTTATCATGTTCCTTCAGACACTTGTAAAAAAACAAAAAGATCAAAGAAGCCAGATCATTTAATTTCACAATTAGATATATTGATGATGTTCTTTCTATTAACAATCTAAACTTTTCTGATTGGGTTCCATTAATATATCCTCCAGAACTAGAAATTAACGAAACAACAGACACGGCTTCCTCCGCCTCATATTTAGACTTTTGGGGCCCTTTATAGCTTACTGTTCGGTGTGACCCAAGGCTCCGTGTTGAAGACCGTACTGTGACTTATAATGGTTTACTTTTATAAATTTTGACTTGGATGGAGAGTTGTCTCATTGGCACTCATACCACATCTTCTTATATCTATATATTATACGTCGATTTTATCATAAGCGGTATTCTCAGTACCAGAATCTATGACGAAAGTGACGATTTTAATTTTGAAATTTTCAATTTACCCCACCTTAGTATATATATACCAACTTAACCTGCATATGAGATATACATTTACCAAACGCATTCGGTATTCAAGAGCATGCAGCTGATACTCAGTCTTTATAAAACGTTAACCATTTCTGAGCAGAAAATTGATGAAGCAGGGATATGTCAAAGAACGTCTCTTCCCTTTTTCTAAAAAAAGTTCATTGGAAGATACTAACCTTGTTGATAAATATTCCGTATCAACTTCACAAAAAATACATGATGGTCTTGAAGTATAGATTCTAGACACTGACGTTGTTTATCATCTTAACTAAGTGGTACAATGTTATTTTTGAGTCTTTGTAAATTATCAACCTTTCCTGTTTAGTCCATTTTTGGTTATATCCTTTTGACGTGGCTAGGTATTTATACATCCCGCCATTGTATTATTGTGCTATGATAATTTTTTGTATTCTTGTCTTTCATTTTTCCTGATGTGCTATGTCTATATTTAGATATAAGAAGATGATATGAGTGCCAATGTGACAACTCTCCATCCAAGTCACAATTTGTAAAAGTAAACCATTTTAGGTCAAAGTAAAACTTTCAATACGGAGCCTTGGCTCACACCGAACAGCAAGCTATAAAGGGCCCCACAAATGACTAGTGTAAAACCACACAAACAGGAAAACGAACGGTCTAATCTATATAAAAAACGAGAAACACTTATGAACCACATCAACAAACGACAACCACTGAACATCATGTTCCTGACTTAGGACAGGTGCAAACAAATGCAGCGGGTTTAAACGTTTTACTAGAGATTTCCAATAAAATGACATACGTACGTAACTCGACGTACGGCCACATGGGACTGGTTATTGCCAAACATTGAATTTGATTAAATACGTCGCTGAAGTTTAAACCAAGCATTCCAAGACTTTTAAAATCACACACTGGAATTTTCGTCCATATAAAATAATTTTATCATGACGTAAAATGATAGTAATCTTGCATTTTTATTTATCACGTGGTTCTCCATATTCCCGCCTTTATTTTCACTGACATAAGATCACATATAAAAACACGTATTCCATACCTATCATACTATCGATTTGAGTTATCTTTCATGGTTTTTGATAATGACAATTATTTTTCAATATACTTTGCAGATGAACGCCCCATTATGCCTTTTTTTTCGTTATCCGATGTTTTTCTTTCTTTTTTTTTCTTTATCCATCTTTTTATTATATTTGTTGCGGGGAAAACAATTAGTAGGATATTTTCCTGACAATTTCAGAAATGTCAAAACCAGTGTTTGTCAAAATCTGTCTTTTTATCAAATTTGAAAATTGAGATAAAACTATCGCTTCCATTTAATTTCTTAACAAACGTATTTTTCATTTATTATAAAATGTATTGATAAAAAAAATCCCTATATAGGTTGTATTTTAGAAGGAGTGCTCGATTAAGGATTGTTTAGTGTTGTTTTGTTTAACGAGAATGCTATCGGAGACATTTCCAGGCAATTATTTTTAATATCCCTTGAAGTAAATTAACTTATAGTATTTTATCCATTTTATTGATAAACAATTAATGGGGTGTCACCGAATTCGTTTTACTACATAAATCATTAACTGAAATGTGTTAGGTAAGAAATATAGAACAACATAAGATAACAAGATTTCGTTGCCAGATGTGGATCAAGAATTTTGAAAAAAGGGGGATCTAGGCAACGTTAGAAGTGGAACATGCCCCCTCCCCCTAAATTCTCCTTTTGGATGCGCTAGACAGTCAAAACAGCTTTCTTTCGACGTTTAATTCCCAATACAGTGTAGAATATGACGATTTTGCGCAACGCTAAAATATTATTAGTTACATAGTGTGCTAGTGACTAAATACGATATATATGGGGTCAGTAAATTACATATGGGGTGAGAGCGAAGTTAAGATAGTCGGTAAGATAAAATCGTAAAATAGTGTGCTAGTGACCTAATACGATATATATGGGGTCAGTAAATTCAATATGGGGATTCGGGCCTCGCTTTCACCCCATATGTAATTTACTGACTCCATATATATCGTATTAGGTCACTAGCACACTATGTAACGAATTTATCTTACCGACTATTTTAACATGTGGTATTTAGACTAGTGGCCTATCAAAGTGATCAAGTCTTCAATACCGTTAGTATTAAGAACCTACTTCCATTGGTCTATACAAAAACAAATGCCGACACTTACAACTTGTTGGCTTTAAATGTGTTTTATGAATTTATTTCAATCGTTAATCATCAATTTCTTCGTCTCTTGAAACCTTTAAGATTTTTCCTAAACACCGTGTTGTTTTTATAAAGGGACGTAACACCACTATTAACCGTGTACTGAAATAAGCCCCGCCTACTAACCCAATATGGAACCCTACTAACCAAATATGGAATAAACACGGTCTCCACCCGGTTGCTTTTAACCAATCATATTCCTAGAAATGTATAGGAGGTAAGATACAGGTATTTATAGGATGCAGGGCCATGTATATAAGTGTTCGTTGCATATGTATTTTACATATGCATATATAGGACGAGAAGATGAATATGAACCAGACTTTGTATTATAACGCAGGAAGACATGTCACTTTTCCTGGACACATGATTTTGAATCCGGACAGACCAATCTTTGCTCGTAGTTACTATATTCCATGCATTTTGACAAATGTTAAACGTATAAAGTTAAAAGACATAGTGTAACTTAAACTTTGATATCCCCAAAGCTGTACAAAAGCATTTTAGAGGAGGTCATACATATTATTCTGTCAATCATTTTTGTTTTCATCAGGACCTGTTTTAAATTGAATACTGAGAATTAAACCTTTAACCAACAGTTTCATTGGAATACATTGATTATATAATTAATGCGTATTCGAAATATTATTATTTCATGATAAAATTCCACAAATCTGGATTTATTTTTCATAGACAAGATCTTTGTGCTAGTATGGTCACCTACCCTATCCCCCCCCCCCTTTCCCCCCTTAAAAGGGTCGTCCGATTGGTTGTCCGGAATGTATAAATACACAGTCACGTTCAGTAGCAGTGGGGACGTCTAATCAAATCTAATGTAAGTGCGTACATTAGTTCTACACGGAACAGAACCATGGATCCATAGGGGGCTGTTGCAAGACAAAATGTCTGCCCCTTTGTAACATTCTATGGTATTATTTTATTTTACTTGTCCTGAATATGCATGCAGTTTTCGTCTTTTAATGTCCGGCAACAACAATCAATTAATTAAGCAATCAAACGTGATTAAAAGTATGATTTTTCTTGCATTTGTAAATGCTGAAAACTATTTTGCAATTCAGATTTTCAATTAACCGTCCACTCTCTACTGGCATTGACTTCTTTTAACCAAGTTGAGGTTTTGACTGCCAAGATTCAAATCATTTGCCTTACCAGAAATAAAATCCAAGTAACGGTACTGTCGATTGATTGATAGTTTGTTGCTTAACATCCAGTAGCAAATATTCCATGCATAGAGCGTGGCATTCTCTACAAGAGGCATCGGATTTAACGTCCCCACTATGCATATGTGGCCTTAAGACACAGTGCCTCCTCACATGCTCATATTTCCATGTTCAGTGCACCACTTAATCCGGGTCAAACTCTAATTTGGTATATAATTTTATATTTTGAACGGAACGGAAGAAAGGAGGGATGCACAGACCAGTAAATATAACATCCCTCGCTATAATAAGTTGGTCATAAAACTTAAATGATCGTCTACTTAACAAAACTTTAATCAAATATTCCATACATGTCCGTTTTTCTTACATATAAGTTAAACGCCAAGCATTTCAGAAAAAACAAAAAGTAAAAACATAAACTGATTCAGTAAAGTGAAATCATATTTTGTTTTGAAGATGCGTCCTCATAAATTCCATTTGATAAAATTAAACGGAAAGGTGACAAAGTACTAGTAGAAAGATGCAACAGTGATCTGAATTTCTACTTCTGACAAAAGTCTCTTGAAATATATTATAGAACTATCATTAGTATGCTAAAAAATAGAAGAAGCAAGTCGTGTACACCTTTTATATCCCGGCGTGTTTGAAACTCATGTTTTAATATTATAACGTATAAATCAAAAATGAGAATATCAACTCGCTTCAGATTC